TTTTTTTAAAGATTTTATTTATTTATTATGTATACAACATTCTGCCTCCATGTATATCTGCACACCAGAAGAGGGCACCAGATCTTGTTACAGATGGCTGTGAGTCACCATGTGTGTGGTTGCTGGGAGTTGACCTCAGGACCCCTGGAAGAGCAGTCAGTACTCTTAACCACTGAGCCATCTCTCCAGCCCTTAAGTCAGCTTTTATAATTAGTATTTTTTATTATTATCATTATTATTATTATTATTATTATTACTATTAATTATTGTGCTCAAGTAAAAGCTGCCAGGCACTGAAGAGAGGGGCAGAAAAGGAACAGTGTTCATGGGGATGCCTAGGATCAGGTCTCCAGCAAGTCTGTCCAGTGTTCCTGTAAAGGACAAAAGGGTGGGTCAGAGGTAATCTAGGACGGCTGGGGGAGAGTGGGGCCAGAGTCACTTCTCACCTCTTCCAATCCCAAGTCCTCTTCCTCCTCGGCGTCCACATGGCACTGCCCAATCAGACTTCCCCAAAGCAGAGACTTCTTACAGCTGCCAAAGGGAGCAGTTGGTGGAAATGGCAGTCAGGCATCCCCAGGCCCTTCCACCCAGGCCCTGAGTGTCAAGGTGAGGTTCCCTAGCCAGGACTGAAACACAGGACACCTTTTTTTCCAGGCCTACGCAGGCTGGGAAGAGGGCCTAGACTCACCTAGGACAATGGCCTTCTAGAGGCAGAAGCTGCCCAGGCTCTTCCCGCAGGAACTCTTCTGCCAGACAGATGATATGGGCTTTTAGGGGACAACCAGGGTGGGGGCAGCACAAGGGGCCCTCTTCATCCTTTCAGGTGGCAGGTAAGGAGACACGGAAGTTAACCGGAAGTAACCGAGAGCAACCCACAGCTTGTGAGACAAGAAAGAGACAGAAAAAGCAGGAAGCACACAAAAGAGTGATGACTTCAGAAGAAGGCCTGGAAAGAGCTACATGGTGGCTGGTTGCCCATTCAGAGGCTCTGACGGCCCTGGCAGGTACTGATAGGCCAGGAAACAGCCGAAAGTACCATTGCCCTCATTAGACTGTTTCAGGGTGGGCAAAATCTGGGGCCTCAGCCCCTATGTGCCCCTACCTGCAGCATGCGCGCGCACAACACGCAGCTGGCCTTGGGTCCTAGATCCAACTGGGGCTTGCTGTCAGTCTCACTTGCAGCGAGTTGCTTCGGTTCCAAGGGCTGGGGTGGCGGTCCAAAGGCTATGGGCATGTGTAATGGTGGCGCTGGAGAAAGTTCATGGTGAAAGTCAGGTCTCAGCCAGCGCAGTGTTAGAGGGAGGCGCACCCATGGTGGAGCTCGGAGCATGTGCGCCAACACGCGCAGGTGGAAGGCAAAGGAAGCCTCGCTGCGCAGGCGCGGCCCCACGTGAGTCAGGCGGCGTGAGGCTTGAGGATGCTGCCAGGCCCATTCAAACTATAGGAAGTGACACAGATGACAAGTCAGGGTGGTCCTGGGCAA